TCTCTAATCTATCCACCTGCGTTTTCCTCTGCAGTGCCATAGCGCAGCCATGCAGCATCCCGCACGAGTGTCACGCAGTATTGATATTTTTACAGCAATCACACAGAGTAGGCTTCACACCTCGCCAAAATGATGCTTCAGTCAGTGGTCTCTCCCACCCTGGGAGATCATTTGAAGATGGAGGTTTGACAGGTGAACACATTTTTAATGTCGGTCTTTCGGTTTGGCTGCATTACGATGAGGATGGAGAGCAGCGACTGTGTGAGAGCTGTCGCTGGCTTTATTTCAGTTACACAGTCCATATGTGCAGGTGGTGAAGATGTGCCGGGTGAGTCGAGGTGAGGAGGCAGACCTGTTTGTGTCTCAGTACGCTCTGTGACAGCACAGTCTGTTCACTGCAGCATTTTATACATGAAAACTAAACTGCAAACTAAAAGGTGATATATGCACAGAGGATATGATTACAAACTACCGACGCTCTCTTCTGCAATTCTCTAATGCTTTTTGATGTTATCTCGGATTTTTATGATGAGGATAATTCCATCCATTAGCCGAGTTTGAGTCTCCGCTGCACTCCGGGGGGGCTGATGAAATATTTAGCGGACATTGACTTCAGATTTGGCACTAATTTGACTTATTTTATTTCTTTTACAATTGAAAGATGCAGTATGGAATAGTAGCCTAATGGCTCAATAGTGCGACCACAAATAACACTGCTGGTTTGAATATTTAAATGTTAAAGTGATATTGTGTGATATGAAGCAAAATTAAATACATGAGAGCCATTATTATGTATTCCTCTCACATTCACTTTTATTTTGATATTAAACAAGGCCCAAACAAAGAAGCGCATAACGCAAAATGGACTAGTAACCTGTGGTGAATAAACATTATTTAGCTCAGTATTGGCCATCGTTAGCTTGCCTCTTGCTTTAACTACTACCTACGAGAGGTTAGGTCCGACTGTCGTTCGTTATGAAAAGAATGAATAAATAAGCATTTGTTTGCTTGTCAAATTGTGGTGGTCGCTTAACGTAATCATTTATCGGAATCAGAATCAGAATCAGAAATACTTGAAGAAACTTGAGGTATGCTTGCTGCTTGGCAGATTGATTTGGATTTTTTAAGCGGCGGCTTAATCAGAATCAGAAATACTTTATTGATCCCCGAGGGGAAATTCTTTGTCACAATTGCACACTTGTCAAAGGTAATTAGTATAAATATAAAAAATAAAGACACATATAAGGTGTGTGGGTATGTACAATATTTATATTATTAAGAATTATTATGGTGAACCAAAAAGGACTAGTGAATGAAAAGCAGCAGAGAATATTGCACATTAATTATTAGACAGGTAATATTGGACAGAAAATAGATAATGAGATAATAGATAATAACTTTAATAACTGACTAAGTGTCAGATACTTAGATGGAGGAGTTATAAAGCTTGATGACCACAGGCAGGAATGACTTCCTGTGGTGCTCAGTGGTGCATTTTGGGGGAATGAGTCTTGCACTGAAAGTGCTCCTGTGTTTGAGCAACACATCATGGAGTGGGAGACATTGTCCAAGATGACATGTAGCTTGGACAGCATCCTCCTCTCCAACACCACCGACAGAGAGTCCAGCTCCACCCCCACAAAGTCACTGGCCTTGCGGATCAGTTTGATGAGTCTGTTAGCGTTCGCTACCCTCAGCCTGCTGCCCCAGCATGCAACAGGACAGCACTGGCCACCATAGACTCATAAAACATCCTCAGCATCGTCCTGCAGATGTTGAAGGACCTCAGCCTCCTCAGAAAATAGAGATGGCTTTGGCCCTTCCTGAAGAGGGCTTGAGTGTTCTTGGCCCAGTACAGGTTTGTCCATGTGCACTCCCAGGTATTTGTAATCCTCCACAATGTCCACACTGACCCCCTGGATGGAAACAGGGCTCACTGGTGCCTTGGCTCTCCTTAGATCCACATGTTTCTGCTCACACCATGTCCCCCACCACAGCTTTGTACTCAGCCTCGTCACCCTGCTGATACATCCAACCACAGCAGAGTCATCAGAAAACTTCTGAAGATGGTAGGACTCTGTGTGGTAGCTGAAGTCTGTGGTGAAGAGGAAGGGAGAGAGGACGTCCCCTGCGGGGCCCCGGTGTTACTGACCACGCTGTCTGACACACAGTGTTGCAGGCGCACATGCTGTGGTCTGACAGTCAGGTAGTCAACAATCCAGGACACGAGGGGGGCATCCACCTGCATCTCTGTCAGCTTCTCACCCAGCAGGGCTGGCCGGATGGTGTTGAAAGTCCTGGAAAAGTAAAAAAACACGACCCTCACAGTGCTCGCCGGCTTGTCCAGGTGGGCGTAGGTGCGGTTGAGCAGGAAGATGATCGGGTCCTCAACTCCCAACGTTACAGTTTTATTTTGTTAATGTTACACTTGATTTGAGAGTCTGGGGGATGTGTTGAGTTACAGTAGCTTATAAGCTGTCATTATTTGTAGATGCATTAGACTACATGGTTGTGCTCTGTAAATGAAAAACAGGTTACAGGTTTATTGTTGATCATGTGACGTTACAGTTTTATTTAGTTAGCATTACACTGGGTTTGAGAGTTTGTGAGGTGTGTTGACTTACAGTATTTAATAAGCTGTCATTAATTGCATTGCACATCACATGGTTGTGCTCTGTAAGTGAAACAGGTTACAGTTACAGAATTCCTTAGAGCCATGCAGTTTTATAAGCAGCCTGGATTGAACACAGCAGGTGATCCAACATTCGTAATAACCACGAGTGACTTCAGGCTTGACTTAGCTCAAAGACTTGAGACTTGACTTGGACTCTAGCTCAGAGACTTGAGACTTGACTTGGACTCTAGCTCAAAGACTTGAGACTTGACTTGGACTCTAGCTCAGAGACTTGAGACTTGACTTGGACTCTAGCTCAAAGACTTGAGACTTGACTTGAACTCTAGCTCAGAGACTTGAGACTTGACTTGAACTCTAGCTCAAAGACTTGAGACTTGACTTGGACTCTAGCTCAGTGACTTGAGACTTGATTTAAACTCTAGGTCAAAGACTTGAGACTTGACTTAGACTCTAGCTCAGTGACTTGAGACTTGATTTAAACTCTAGGTCAAAGACTTGAGACTTGACTTGGACTCTAGGTCAAAGACTTGAGACTTGACTTGAACTCTAGCTCAAAGACTTGAGACTTGACTTGGACTCTAGGTCAAAGACTTGAGACTTGACTTGAACTCTAGCTCAAAGACTTGAGACTTGACTTGAATTCTAGCTCAGAGACTTGACATGGACTCTAGCTCAGAGACTTGAGACTTGACTTGAACTCTAGTTCAGAGACTTGAGACTTGACTTGAACTCTAGTTCAGAGACTTGAGACTTGACTTGAACTCTAGCTCAGAGACTTGAGACTTGACTTGGACTCTAGGTCAAAGACTTGAGACTTGACTGGAACTCTAGTTCAGAGACTTGAGACTTTACTTGAACTCTAGCTCAGAGACTTGAGACTTGACTTGAACTCTAGTTCAGAGACTTGAGACTTGATTTGAACTCTAGCTCAGAGACTTGAGACTTGACTTGAACTCTAGCTCAGAGACTTGTGAGCATCTCTGATATGAACCAAACCTTTCTAGGGCTTTCCCTGAGATACCAACACATCTGTTTAGTCTGTTTATAAGGATGGAATGATCAGTGGCATCAAAGGCAGCTCTTACATCAAGTAGAACTAAGATGGATTGTTCCCCGCAGTCTGCCTGCATAAGAATGTCATTTGTGACTGTTAACAAAGAAGTTTTAGTATTTGGAGTAATACTAGATAAATCAGAAGAGCAGATCAGGGGCACAGTGGATTGGATCTGATACTGTTGATTTTGTTGACAAAAAATTATAAATACAATTCACAATCTTCAGCTGTTGTAACAGAGATATCAGCCGATGAACAAGCTTGTCGATTGTACTTAATTGTGTTAATTATTAGTAATTACTAATTCTGAAGAAGTAAGCAGTCCTTGCATTGTTTATTTTCTTATAGAGCAAACTTGAAATCTCTTTCATGTTGAGAAAATGGACATTAAGTTCTCGGCCCTTCTACAGTCTTGCTTACAGCTAAGAGTAGCATAATTTATGCACTGGAATGATCTGATTGGTGCAAATGACCTGGTCATAATACAGTATCCAAGGAACAAAGGTTATTGTAACCACTGACCAGTTCATTAGTGTTAGAAGGCTGAATTATATAAATCAAAGAAGATAGACGCAAACTTTATAGCAGACTGATTATTAAAAATGTGGCAACATAGTGTTTGCTTCAGAATTAGAGAAGTTGCCTGAATGGAGGAGTCAAATATAATACATTTGTGATCACAAACATGGTCTATAAATGAGAGTCCGATTATAGTAGGGCCTGATGTAAAGACAAGATCAAGAGTGTTGCCTTGTGGCTCTTGGTCAAACGGTCAAACCAGAGACATGCTGCACCAGTCTGAATGAGTCAGTAATATTTAGGAATTTTGTTGCATAATGTTTAGAGTGATGGATATTAAAATCTACAAAAATGTTTTTATCAAGGACAATGGAGGATAGACATTCGGAAAAATCTGCTAAAAAGTATTTGGTTTCACTGGGTAGTAAATTGAAAAACAGCAGACAGGGTTTTGATAGTTGACTATAAACATAAGAAAATCAAATCTCTGAAGGTTAGTGACAGCGATGTGTTTACAGTAAAAATGGTTGCTATTAGCAACAACATGGCCTCCTAGTTCAGCAAAGACAGCAGAGTAGTCATGAAACGATAAGCTGCATCTTGTCAGTATCTCGCAGCTAGGGTGCAAAAGAAAGTCATATTACAGCCCTGAATCTGTTTTAAGAGTCTGACAAAATATCCACACCATGTACTGATTGCTTTTAGCAAATTTGTCTAACTTTTACCTTGTTTTTTGAACTAGCACCTGTAAAAGGTTTTGTGTTCCACCTCATATTTCTGTTTCTCAATCAGGCTATGCCGAGGCTGTGATTATTCCTGCAGGAGCCAGGAGAATCAAAGTTGTGGAAGACAAACCCTCGCATAGCTTTCTGGGTAATGATACAGGGTGTCCTTAAAGTCCTTGAAAATGATCACTACTAACTTTCAGACATGCTCATAAGCACAATATCATGTTTATTTGTGAACATTTAACAGCTGCTGCAAACGTGCCATAATATTACTTGACAGTGTCTTCATACAACTACTTAAGTATTACTACTATGCATTTACAAAGCCCCCTGTTTATTTGTATCTTATCTGGATGGATATCCTTAACACCTAGTTCTCAGCAGATTCTAATGCGATAAGCGAATTATCTCAAATCCAAATCAAATCAATATTTGGTGTGACTACCCTTTGCCTTCAAAACAGCATCAATTCTTCTAGGTACATTTGCACAAAGTTTTGAAGGAACTCAGCAGGTAGGTTGGCCCAAACATCTTGGAGAACTAACCACAGTTCTTCTGTGGATTTAGGCAGCTTCAATTGTTTCTGTCTCTTCATGTAATCCCAGACAGACAATGTTGAGGTCTGGGCTCACATTTGGCCTACAGCCTTATCAAATCTCCGGGGTTAACAACGTCCTGACTTCAACTCTGTACCTAATAAACACACATGAGAGTAAATAAGCATCTTTCCCAAAATGTTAAACTTTTCATTTAGCCAAACTTTGTTCATTATGCCATGTCAAAGACAGGGTTTGTGTGTAACAGTTATCTCCTGTGTCTTCCTCACAGCCCTAAAAGATTCCAGTAAGAGGTCAATCAACAGCGACTGGAAGATTGAGCTTCCAGGAGAATTTGAGCTGGCCGGGACCACAGTCCGCTATGTAAGAAGGGGACTGTGGGAGAAAATGTCTGCCAAGGGACCCACTAAGACCCCCTTACACCTGATGGTAAACAAATCAGTCACTCTGTTCCATGTTGTTTTATCACAATACACCCTGAAACAACTGCAAGATTAAAACATCCTGCTGGGGGTGCTAATGCATGTGTGACATTATGACATTATGCGATTATGTGTTTAATTGTGCATGTTTGTTAGTGTGTATAAGGGTTATCAATATGATAATACTGACATTTAACTGCAAATTATGTAGGCACTGCTTAGTTTTGCCTACCATGGATATGATGGACACAATATTCTTTTGACTGATTGATTAGTAGTCAACACTTTTACATGTGAATCCCTAAACAGAATGCCACTGTAACTACAGTGGCATGAAACCATACTGATAATCCACAATAAACAATATAAATGATGTGTTGTGATTGGTCGCATTGTACTGTCACTGTTTGCCATGTGCTCAGGCAAAAACAGGTTTTAGGACCCATTAGAAGACTAATGACAATCTATTATGATATGCCTATAAGTTATCCAGTGAGGTGCAAGAGTAGGTATTAGAAGCTGACATTTTTTGGGGTATCCTGTGGGAGGGATTCAATTTGGCTATGCATCATGGGACAGGAAAAAACATCAACGGGAGCAAGACAGGAATCATAGATCAGTTACATATGCAGTTCTAATATGAATAAACACTTTTTTCAGATATTTTTATTCAATTCAATGTGATTTGTTTAGCGTCAATTCACAACAACGATCTCATTGCACTTTTCATATAGAGCAGGTCTAGACCGTACTATTTGTGATAATATTTACAGAAACGTAGCAGTTCCCACAATGAGCAAGCACTTGGCAACACAGGCAAGGAAACGTGGCTCGCTGCACCTGGCTGGGTGATGGAGAATATGTTAGCTTAAATGAATCCACCCCTCCCAGTCCTCCCAGATTTTAATGGGCTGTGGTACTGATATCGAATATTTAATAGTGCAGAATCCCATTTTTATCTGACCACTTTTTAATAACTTTTGAGTTCCTATTGCTGGACTACTTGGCATTAGGCAAACAATTAGTTGTAGTGCTTTAGCTAAGTTTAAGGAAGTGATTCCATCAACTTTTAACTTTAACTTTGTCTTAAAGTAACAGAGGACTCCTATGCTAATTTCAGTCCCTCCCAAATCGATCATCTTGTTGATAGTGCTGCAGGCTCGCTGCAAATGACACTTGACTCTGTAGCCCCTCTAAAAAAGAAAATAATAAAACAAAGATTATATATTTTCTCTCTCTCTCTCTCTCTCAATTCAATTCAATTCAAATTAGCTTTATTGGCATGAATGTAATAACAACATTACCAAAGCATCATATATACACAACATAAGAACAATCAGCCCCATACATTTCATTAAACAATTAAAGCGTAAAGTAATCAAAGTGTATGTATATATAATATTAAAAATTAAAATAAAATAAATAAATAAAACAGTAAGCGTGTGTGTGTGTGTGTGTGTGTGTTTAAAAAAAATATATTAAAAATAAAATAAAAAAACAAAACAGTAAGCGTGTGTGTGTGTGTGTTTAAAAAAATATATTAAAAATAAAATAAAGAAACAAAACAGTAAGCGTGTGTGTGTTTGTGTGTGTGTTAAAAAATAAAAATATATTAAAAATAAAATAAATAAATAAAACAGTAAGCGTGTGTGTGTTAAAAAATAAATATATATATATATATATATTAAAAATTTAATTAAAATAAATAAATAAAACGGTAATTAATTAAATTTCTTATTAAATTAAATTAATTATCTCTCTTTCTCTCCTTCACCCCAACCAGTCGAGGCAGATGGCCGCCCACCCTGAGCCATGGTTCTGCTCGAGGTTTCTGCCTCTTAAAAGGAAGTTTTTCCTTGCCTCTGTCGCCTAGTGCTGCTCTTGGTGGGAATTGTTGGGCTTCTGTAAATAGCATCATAGAGTACGGTCTAGACCTGCTCTTTTATGAAAAGCACTGTGAGATAACTGTTGTTGTGATTTGGCGCTATATAAATAAAATTGAATTGAATATTGTATATGAATGGGATGAAAAGTTAGATTGTATTGCAAAGTTTCATTTCTTTAATCTTGTCACATGAATAGATATAATCAAATATTTACAAAAATGTCTATGAAAAATGTCTTCAAACTATGAAGAGACTATCTCACATGCTCACAATAAAGCATGCTGGAGTTCCGTACTTGTATAGCCAACCCGCTCTACCACCTGAGCCACAGCACGCTCCGTGTGCATCCTGGCGATTGATCCACACCCATCAACCTATGGACGCTTATTATTTTTTCCCCAACATCTCCAGGCAGAGGAAATTCCTGAGCTTCTCATTCAGGGACGTGTCACATCAACCCCTGTGAATGGGCACTGCACTAGGAAAGATAACAGGCAGATAACCTGAAGGTTGGTAAGCTTTAGGCACATCATCTCACTACACATTACACTCCACTCTGTTGTGTTCCCAGGTGCTGCTCTTTCATGACCAGAGCTATATGATCCACTATGAGTACACAGTGTCTCTGAACACAACTCAGGACAGGAGCAATGAGGAGCAGAGGGAACCAGAGTATCTCTACATCTGGACACACAGCAGCTGGCAGGACTGTACCGTCCAATGTGGAGGAGGTAACACACTAAACATATTAAACTATCACTCACTGTTTTACTTCTGTAAAACAAACTAATTTCGGATTAAAACTTTATAATTATTGTATGCCAGGGGTGGCCAAACTTTTTTTTATTGTGGGCCACATTCTTAAATTTTCAGCATTTACTCGCTATATTCCGTCTTTTCAGTTCCACCTTGTTTAATCAACTTAGATAAATCTTTTCATCAACTAGTAATTCATCATTGTAGGTCAAGTAGTTGTTTAAAACGACAGTACCTCTAGTGTTTAAACTATAATGTGCAATGTACATACAGGGCAATTTATTTGAAATTAGCTCAAGCCACATTGTAGTTGATTTTTTTAAAATTACTGCGGCATAGTTTGGCTAACCCTGCTGTTCCAAAACCTCTTAGAACAGATGGAGTGCTGACCTCTGTGTGTGTGTGTGTGTGTGTGCGCGCGCGTGCTCTCAGGTGAGAGGAGGACAGTGGTTTCCTGTATGAGGATAGCCAATAAAACCATGGAGGTGGTCAACGATAGCTACTGTCAACCTGAGAACCGACCACACCCCCAAGTACGACTCTGCAACTCACACCCCTGCCAGTACCGGTGAGACAGACACAGACACACACACACACTCCGCCGTAGATTTTGTAGCTGCTGGTTGCTTGTAGACTGTTAAAAGTGGGCTCACACTGCTCAGACAAATGCCAACCAACTCCAACCAGCACCAACTGTTGGATCAGTGTGCCGCGTCATGGTGTTAGTCGGATAGGGTTTTTCGAGTTTAGTCGGGTTTGGTGGAGTCGTGAAAGTCATGGTGAAGTCTGACCAATGTGCACTATTTTCCAACAAACAGCAACATTCTGAATGTGTTCCCTTGACAACTAAGCCAATGTTGGCTCCACAGCTCCAGAGCCAGAAACACCTGCAGGAAGTGATAGGAGGAGAGAGGAGAGGGACGAGAAAGCACAAGACTACCAGAAAGGGGAGAAGTTGAGTTAGTAACATGCAATGTTTAAATGGCCTAACAGCCCTTAAAAGGTTTGCACTTGACAAAAACTGATTGCAGTTCCTACCTTGTGACTGAAAGGTTCTCAAAATGACTTGATTTAATTAATGAACATTTTTTAACCTGTTTATATACCTTTAGGTAGGCACTTGTAACTTAAATAGGAAAAAGTAGGCAACAAAAGTCTGACTGGTCACTTACTGTCTGGGCAGAGTGGAACTGGCAGTTGGTTTTCTAAATATTCTAAAGACTGTTGGTCTTAGTTGACAGGAAGCAGGAAGTAAGCCTTGTGTGACAGTCATCATGTGATTTACATGAAATTGTGGTATGATCTGCACTTGATATGCTGTAAGATAACCTATAATTAGTGGGTGTTCTGTACACTGGAAGTGACATTTAACTTCATTATGCGGTGTCCAGAACCCAGATGTGCAATAAGGTGCAAGGGTCCATTCATCGCTGCTTGCAGCTTTAATTAAGCTTTGTTACTTTGTTTTAAAATGTGCTCTGTAAGTTATATTAAAAGTATGTTCGCACTCCACTTTTAGAACTCCGTCCAGAATAAAACATAATTTTCTCACCTAAAAATTAAGCTTTTCTGAAACAGTGTATAAATCTTCAAATGCCATCTTGGCGTTTCGGTGTTTACAGGGGATAACAGAGCTTTTATGAAATGATGATGTAAGCTTCCCAGTGAGGGGCAGGGGCTGTGTAGCAGTAAAGTTAAGATGAACTGTCTCCTGACTGAAAGTGACCTAAAGCAGTTGGGTCTGTATGTTTATGAACTGTCTGCAAACACTTGATGTTTTTAACAGGTGGGTGACAGGAGAGTGGGGATCCTGCTCTGTCACATGTGGTAAAGGTCTTCAGCAGAGGGAGGTGGTTTGTGTATACCACCTACAGAATGGCTCACTCATCCACACCAGGGACCTCTACTGTCAAGGAGGAAAACCTCCTGTTCTGCAGGGCTGTGAGGGCCGCCTCTGCCTCACCATGTGGGAGGCTTCAGAGTGGTCCAAGGTACGTCATACACACACTGTGCTGATGTGAAAACCACCGCTGGATCTGGGTGTAATGTTAATGATTGATCATAGAATTGAAGAGTGTTTCCTCAGTGTTTCTACCAATGCTCTGTAATTATTGAATACTGCAGCTCTTAAGAGGAAGGTCACATAGTCACCATTAAAAGCTTCTTTAATATTTTGCAACATGTATCCAATGGGATTAGATAAATTACAGATTTAAAAGCATTCCCTTTTCATTTTACTTTTCACACTCATTTTACATCAACAGCACTAAACAGTATCAGTGGTCAGTATAACAGGATAGACCATAAGATGCATTTCAATACAATAATTGAGATTGAAATTATGATTCTTTTGGGAAACTCCTCTTCAGTTTAAGGATGTTTGTAAAATGGATTTTATGGTCATGTGAGCCTTCAGATGCTTTGGGAAAATGGGACTCTGATCAGTTTTGGTCATATTTACTAGAAGTACATACAGTATGTTTAGAGTGAAGAAATGTTTTATGGGCCTTTATGTTTATGATTGTCAAGGTAAAAACGAGGTTGAATATTTTAGTTTTGAAAATTCATTTGACATCACTGACCAGCATTTGGGATATTGAATGTTATCCGGATACCAAATTTGGTATTTAAAAATATTTGGAAGAGCCTGAAAAAAATGTTCCTTTTTGGAAATGCATTTTCCTGTAATTTTCTTGCCAAATTCTTTTAGGTGTCGTAGTTCTTTGCTATGAATGCAGTGTCATTTACTTATCTCAGCTCAAAAAGCAATATCTTTTTATTATATTATATTTATATTCAATCATATACAACTATATACAACATGGCCCATGTTTGTCACAATAAAGTTAAATCTAGTAAAACTAGTAATTGAAAAATATGTTGACCTGTGCCAAGGTGTGGCTATTGGGTTAGGGTGGGTTACAGAATCGGAACAATGCATGCAGCCATGTGGAACAGCCATGTGGTGGAAATGTTGTTGATTATTGGTTGGCGGGTAAAACCCTTCCATATTTCTACCTGAATATCATAGATCATGGAGATCATCCTTCATCAGGTTCATGTTTGTGTTGGTCTGGAGTGCATATCAACAGACTTTAGAGGGCCGCGAAGACAGCCGGTATCCAATAATTTAATAATGCACTATATAATAATAATGTGTGGAAGAAACATCAGATGATGTGATCACAGATCACACCATGATTTGTTTGCATTTGTAAACAGAACATTATTTCTGTCAAATTATTTCAAACCCTTGGATAGGCCTACTCATGTGCATGTTTAGCTCAGTTGGTGGAGTGTGGGACTCCCATTGGAGGAGTTGTATGATCGATCCCAAAGTCCAGCAAACTTTTTTTTCTCCCTCGTTAAAAAAATTGATTAGCCTATAAGGACACTTTTTCCCATGCTCGCAATAAAGCATGTGCTGCAGTGCGTGTGCATCCTGGCGTTTGATCCGCATTCATAAACCTATGGACACTAATTTTCATTTCCCTGAGGAAATTCAGGGGAATCCAATCACACGGTTAGTGGCAGCTTTTCAGAGGTGTGTCAAGTATGCCAGAGACTCTTTCAAATGTCCTTCCGAACTTTAGTAAAAGCTCTCAATAAACTCAATATGAAGCACTGCTGCAAAAAACGTTCTCGCGCTTTGATTTTAGAGGCACAATCACTTAAGAGGAAGTGATTATGTGAGTAACTGTTGCTGTCATGACTGAGATCTATTTCAGCACCAGCTGCTATCAATTTATTTATTTTATTTTTTTCTGCTATCAAAGCAATCTGACCGTCATAACTGGCCCGCCAGCAATAATATCTGGCCTATTGCCGACCACTGCTGTAGAATAACTCAATAAAAACAACATTATGTATTAATATTAAAATCTCTTATAAGACTTATAAAAAAGTCTTATAATAGGCTTAATGGCGTCTCTGTTATTGCCACTCCGGGCTGTTGCACCAGTTATTGGCAATATTGGAATCCTGTGCATGAACAATATTTCGCATCAGTTGTTTAATGCTTTATGGCGCCAACACGACTCTTCAGTACAATGTAAGTTCTTTGGAAGAAGCCGCATTCTCATTATGGATATCGTGGCAGAGGCATCGAAGAGATTGAAAAAGACATCTGAGGAAGAGAAAAAGAGCGAGTGACCATGCAAGAGATCAGACAAGAGTAAATATGGGACTGGCTTTTACTCGCTGGCGTGAGCTAAAAGAGCTGAAAAGATGCAGGACAGATGCCGAGCTGTCTTTCTTGCACACACAAAAAAACTAATCTTAATGTTGCTTTAACCCTCATTCATTTACACTACTCTGTTTCCACTCATTTATATCTATTCTTATTTTTCTGTCACATCCTCCAGTGTTCATCAGACTGTGGTCAAGGTGTTCATAGACGGACGGTGTGGTGTACAAATCCTCAGGGTCTTTGTGATCCTGTCTCTCAGCCCACTCAAGAGGAGCCCTGTAAGGACCACTCCAGGTGTTACGAATGGAAGACTGGAGACTGGTCCAAGGTACACCCATCTTGAAAACCCATGGTTCATGTATGGTTAAGATGTAACTAAAGTTGCTGAAACACTTGGCTGAAAGATAAGGCTGTCATTTATCATTATTTCCATCAGAACTGCCCATGTTCATGTTTAGACAGGATATAATCTTCCTATAAACAACTTTATACTTTTGTCTATCATTTCTATTAGTTACAGTATGAGACATTGTACTCACCTAAGTAATTCCTAAAATCTGAGAATATGGAGACATCACTTAAAAGAAGTCCAGCAGTTCAAGAAACACAAACAGTCAGATGATAAGACAGGTTGGATACAAACTAGTGTGTTTTCGGCAGATAACCTAAACCACATTATTTGTATGTAAAACTGAAATTGAAGCATCTTGAATTATGCTAATAATCTCTTATTGCACATAACACTAGAAGTTAGAGCAGGAAGTGGGTCTGTAAATTGAGCTGGATATTTACAGCAAACAGTTTGGTTAATATTCTGACTGTTTGCTTTGGTTGTCTTGTCCAAATATGTTTGGCTAGCCCGGGGCTTACACTACGAACCAGGATTTGAGGTTAGCAAGGTAACGGAGATGACACGGTGAGCGTTTGTGTAATCTCATGAGACTTGGTGCAATTCAAACATGGCAGCGCGCAGCTAAACAAAAAATTCATTAAACAAACAATCCGCCAATTTTAAGCCAATTAACAAATAAGAGCAGTCAAATCGCACTGGAGGACCTCGAGGACGAGTGTTTGGAGGACCTTGAAGTTTACATTGACCAGTGTTTTCATCGAGTGGTCATGGGGAAATCAAAGAGAAACCGCACTGAAGACTCACCTGGAGCATCACCTGGAACAGTCTCCTCGCAAGGTGCAGATTTCACAGAGATCCTGGATTCAATAGACAAGAAATTGTCTAGCTTTGATGCCCGATTATCTCTGGTGGAAGTACTTCACAAAGAGTTTCAGGCTCTGCGGGAATCCCTGGAGTTCAGCCAGAAACAGGTGGTTGAGCTTGCAGCGGAAAACAAGGTCCTCAAAGGTTCGGTTAAATCCCTCACGGAGGGAATGACGCGGCTCTCGGCAGACAATAAAAACATTAGAGAAGCGATCATCGACCTCCAGGCTCGTAGTATGCGGGATAGTCTGGTCATTTCGGGTATCCTGCAGCAGGCGGATGAAGCCCCAGAGGAGACCGTTAAAAGCTTCATCCAAAATCAACTTAAGCTCCCGGCCGAGACCATGAAGAACATCAGCTTCCACCGGGTGCACCGCCTGGGAGGACGGCGACAGGAAAACCAGAGGCCCAGGCCCATCGTCGCGAAGTTTGAACACTTCAAGCAGAAGGAACTGGTTAAAGGCCGTGGCAGGAAGCTGAGAGGGACCAACTTCAGCGTTAATGACCAGTTTCCCCGGGAGATCCTGGACTGACGCCGAGTCCTGTTCCCGATAAGAAAGAAGCTTATTGGAGAAGGATCACGGGCTGTCATCTCGGTGGATAAACTTTACATTGATGGCCAGCTGTACCGCGACCGAGACACCACTCCTTGGCTCTACTAAGACCCAAATCCAGCAACAGGTGGACTGTATCACTATGCGATAATTTTCTCCCCCTCTCAGTTAATTACTCCATGACATATGGCAGGTTAATAGTTATAAAATACAGTGCAAGTCTCAACAGCCTATACTGTGGTTATCTGACTAGACTGTCCGATAATGTTTTGTGTATTTTCCTCTGTTTTTGTTTCACTGTTTCTTTCTTTTGTTAATGTTGCTCGTATTCTGCCGTTTACACGTCGATCAGCTATTTTTATATTGTTTAATTCACAAACAGTCGGGCACACCGCTAGCACACACACGCAGGCGCATACAACACACACAATGATACAACACGCACACTGCACACACTAGCCTTCACCACATCCGTTAGTTGAATGATGACCACACTTAAACTCACCTCTTGGAATGTACGCGGGGCTGGTTCAAGGGAAAAGAGATTTTTAACCATCTAAATAATCTGCAAGCAGACATTGTCCTACTACAGGAGACTCATTTACCCAAGACAGCAGATAAACTAACCTCACCACAGTTTCCTCACTCGTACTCAGCCTGTTATAACTCAAAACAAAGGGGTGTCACCATTATGATAAATAGAAAAACACACTTCAATCATAATACCACTACTATTGATCCAGAGGGTCGATTCATTATTGTTAACATTTCGATTCAAAATACTCCTTTATGCATTGTTAACATCTCTGGCCCAAATGTTGACGACCCCTCCTTTTTTCATGCTTTCTTCAACTCAGTCTCTGCTCACTCAGACACAGCTCTTATATTAGGAGGGGACTTCAACATGGTATGTAATCCAGCAGTTGACAGGCTCAGTACGGCAGGTGGTCACCGTATTTGGAAATCAACAGACATCCTTAAACAATACATGAGTAATTTTGGTCTCTGCGATGCTTGGCATTCTCACCACCCCACTCTTAGAGAATATACCTTCTTTTCACCTGACCACCACTCATATTCTCGCCTCGACTATTTTTTGATTAGCAGCTCAATTATGACATTTCCAACACCCTATCACTATCAGTGATCATGCACCGGTTTCTATCACTCTTACTAAAGAAAGGGTCACACGGCCAACTAGAAGTTGGAGATTTAATGCATCATTGCTTAAAGAAGTTATTTCAAAAAAGAGTGGGCAAAATAAATGGAAACTAATGACCTGCCAGGAACCTCACCATGTCTTCTGGGAGGCAGCAAAAGCAGTCATGAGAGGTAAAATAATCTCCTATTCATCACACAAAAAAAGAATGAGAGGTCTTGTGAATTAGAACTAGAACAAAAAATAAAAACATTAGAAACTACCCTTGCTACCTCCCCACAGGAACACATGCTGAATGATCTGAGAAAATCAAAACTTGAATTACTTGGCTAACTTGGGCAGGTGTTAGCCACCTAACGTTAGCTGAACTGTTGTTGTAACTTAACTTCTTAAGTGAAGAAGTTCTTTTGGTGTCTTTAGTTACTAAGACTGCGTGCAGAAAGATGGCGTGCAGACATGGAGTGATGGCAGCGGGGCTGCTCTACGCACTCATAACAAACTTTTTGGGAGCTAAACATCCGTATGAACAGGACTACCTAATTTTGACAAATAGTCATACATCGCAAAAACAGTTTGGATTTGGTCACCTCGCATTGTTTACCACCTTTATTCGCCCTGGCATGGGAATGCAGGGCTCAGACAAACAATTCACCAAGACGGATCAGAGAGGGGGGCGACTTCTCATAACTTTCTGTCTGCTCTTAGCTGGTGACGTTCATCAATGCCCTGGCCCAATGTTCCACACTGAATTTGCAACCAAATCATCAAAACCTGACACGACTAGTCAGTCATCTGGTTTACAGATACGATCTGCTGTTAACGTTGTACAAAAAAGTCCGGATCACCCACCTAAGTTCCGTGCTTGTTCCTCGGATGGTTCGAGGAGTGTACTGGCTGCAGTCGCCGCTCGGGTGGGTTCGCGGGGGATGTTTGGCATGGAGGAAGCGGGAGGGCCGCGATCGCTGAAACTGTGTACATCCTCGCAAAGCTCCGGGGAAGTCGCACGGCACCAAATCCACCGCGCGGACGATTCCGTCTCCTCCGACGTGGCCGGAGGGGTCTCCTATTCTTGTGGACTCTAACTTGGACTTCCTATGCTTATCTGAAACTTGGTTGAATAAAAACTCCCCATCCGCAGCCATACATATTCCTGGCTATAATGTTTTTAGGAAAGATAGAAAGGTTGGCAAAGGTGGGGGTTTACTGTTATACATCAAAGAACATATAAAGAGGTTCAATGCTCAGTTGAGAATGAGCTTGAGTATATTTGCCTTAATATTAGTCTTTCACCACAAATGTCCTTCTTTCTCATTGGAGTGTATAGACCTCCATCTGTAAAAGCTAGTTTCTTTGACAAATTAGAAACTGTTGTAAAGGTATGCAGGTCAGGTCAGGAAATACTAGTAATGGGTGACTTCAATGTTAATTGGGAGGACAAAGGCACTAGTAAAGCACTGCAACGGATCTCTAATAAATTTGATCTCACACAACTAATTAAAGGGCCCACTAGAATAACCTCGTCTTCAAAAACTCAAATTGACTTGATATTTACCAACAAACCTGAAAGGGTGTCGAAATCCTTTAACATGGTCACTGGTCTGTCTGACCATAACCTCACTCTTATAGCTAGAAAGCTTACTAAATCCCGTTTTCATTTAAAACCTAACACCAAATCTAGCCAGTTACGAATACCCAAGTGTGATGTTGATGAATTTGACAGAGAAATCAAAAATATTAACTGGGATCAAATCATAGCTGGTGTAGATGTGGATAATGACACAAATGTCCTCATGTCCACAATTCAAAACATAACAAAGCGATTTTTAAAGAAAAACAAATCTAAATGGAATAGTAAATATACCCTCCCCTGGATCTCTAGTGACATAAGGAGATTAATGAAGGAGAGAGATAATGCTCTCAAGTCCAAATCATTGACTGATAGGCATATATTTGTGTCCTTGAGAAATAGAGTAATAAAGGAAATTAGGGCAGCTAAAAATTTCTTTGTTGACCTCATACGGGATGCTAAAGGTAATCATAAACAAGTCTGGGACTGTCTGCATAAACTAACAGGGAAAGGACATAATAAGGCAACAAAGCAGCTGGAGATCAAAGAAAATGGTAACCTATATAAGGAACTAGCTGAAGTTGTGACTATCTTCAATAATCAATTCTGTGAGATTGACTGTCCCATAAGTGGTCCACAACACTCTTCACCAATTGATGTATTACAGCCAGTCTTCACTCTGACTGAAATTTCTGAACCCAAGGTTAAGTCTATAATTACTTCTTTTAAGAATTCCAAATCAAAAGACATATTTGATTAATTGTTAATGATTATAATAACAATAGGACTAGTAACAATAGTCGTTGCAGCAGAGGGTGTCGAGCAGGAACAC